ATGGCGGGGTGGGAAGAGCCATGGCATGGCATGGCATGGCTGGCCGCTCTGCATGGAGGCAGCTGCTCTTGCAGACGTGGCCAGGGCATTGGGCTGCTCGGAGGGGTCTGTGCCGCTGACTCTGTGTGCCAAAAAAGCCACTGGTGTCTCTTCCTGTGGAACCTGCCTCGGCCACCCCAGGGTGGCATAGGGGGGCACAGCCAGAGAGCGGCTTCCACGGGGACCGTGCCCGGCATGGGGAGGCAGCGGGCTGAGCTAGCCGGCAGGCTTCTGCTGGAACAGATTTCTGGTGGAAAATGCCCTTTACACATTTTCTGTGGAAATTTCAGTTTGGGTCAGGCAGGGGGTGGATTTCCATCAAGGACGGGAAGCAACAGTGCGGCGATGGATGGGTGGGTGGCGGAGCGCCCCGAACCTGGCAGGGGTGGGGAGGCAGCTCTGGCTGGGGGGGCGAGCCCCACTGCTGGGGTGCTCGGGCTGGGGGTTTTGGGTTGCAGGTGGAAGCCTGGCTGCTCACCCACCTGCCTGCCCTTCCAGTGGGTGCTGTGGGACTGGAAGCAGTTCAGGATGGAGAAGACATATGGCAACTAATTGTTGAAGTACAAATGAGCACGGAGGTTAGCAGGAAAGGAGGAGGAGGTTTCTACAAAGCAAGGAGGTCAGGTCTGAGCAGTGAGATCAGAAACCAACTTTAAGATGGACCTTGTCCAGCTTGTGGACAGGGTTTCATGGCTCCGGGGTCGGCTGCACTGAGGGACGGATGAGCCACTGTTCCCATCACCCCTACGGTCAATCCTAAATATTTGTCAGCATTTTCACACACTGCGTATGCTCTCCCTGTGCCAGGACTGTCCCTATCTCAGCATGGAGCAGGCAGAGGCTCAGCTCCGGGCAGCGATGCAGCCAAGCACAGGCAGCATTGCCCATCGTGGCACGCTGAGCCTCAGTCATGCCAGACAATGGGATTTCAGTGCTGGGATGCCTGCTTTCCCTAAATACACCTCTGCTGGTTTAAGCAGGCGGTGCAGGATGCTGTAGTGGGCTGAAGCTGTTGGGGTGGTGGAGGGCAGGGGTCTGTTTTGAGGGACTTTCCGTGGTGCCTGGGCACCTTTGGTCCCAGCTGCATGGTAAAACGCAGGTTCTGGTGTTGGAGCAAGATCTTCTTTCCATCCCACCAGGTGTGGAGACCCTTGCTGAGAAATCTAGTAGACTTTCCCATGGCAAAGAGCATCACAACTGTAGTGTTAAAACATGAAAGGTCGTTGAGTGCTTGGCTGTTGGAAGGAGCAGGCAGAGCAGGCAGCATTTGGCTGGGCAGGGGCAAGTGCCTGCAGGTGGCAGCACAGGCATGGCCAATGGAGACGATGAACCAAATACTTTTATTTTTTCATCGACTTTACAAATTCGACAGGAATTTGCCATATGCTTTTTGGCAGTGTGTTTTTTCTTTTCTCACCCTTTCTCTGATTTTTTTTTTAATTTTTTTTTTTCTTTGTACAGATAACCTTTTACTCCCAACGGAAAGCACAGCTTTTTGGTTAAACAAAGTGTGTTGTTTGACTTAGAATTACTTGTTTCGTTAGCTAGTGACCCAAAAAATTGCATCTATTTGCGTCTCCCTTTTTGAAGATGACCATGACTTGCTCCAGCAGCGTTTCTCCCCCCTTGCACTCTGCGTGATGGCAGCAGGTAGGAGGCACTGGTGCTACCAGTGCAGTGAATGCTCACCATCTTCAGCTCACAAA